CATTTATTGCATCTATTTTATTTACATTTCAAGCAGATAGTTGAAGAAGCTGGTGGGGTAGTTTCTTGCATGGATGGTGGAAAATATAGTGTATTTGATAGATCAGTCTTGGTATCCAATGGTGTGCTGCATGACAAGGTTAGTCTTTTCCCTTTCTTTCTTAGAGAACTTGATGTTGCATGACAAGGTTAGGTCCAAGGCTTGTAATATTGGGAGCTTTACATTATTACACATCCTAGTATCCACTCATTTTGGAGCCTTATGTGTATTTGATGATAACTGCTCTTGAAATCTATGTTTGAGATATCGTTGGACCAGCGATCCTGTCCAGTAAACCATGTCTAATGGATGATTGTAACTCCTTAACCACTTGACTACTTATAAATTGTCAAACGCTTATATTAGGCTGCGAGGATTTGAACATAATTGATCGGATTGAATCTGTTACCTGAATGCGGTTAGAAATGCTAAGAAAATAGAGTATGAGAATATACTACTTTCCTATCATCCTCTTTCCAAACCACTTTGTATTGTTTGTGTATTTTGCAGCTTCTGGAGAGAATTGGCCCTCCAACAGCTAAACTGAAGAACAAAGGCATTGATTTTTCATTGTGGTTTAAGCCAGAAAACTATCACACAGATTGTTGACAGTGCCTTCTTTTTATATCTCTGCATTTATTTTGTTGTACCCAACTCTTCTTGTTTTTTGAGCAAAAGAAGAAAAAACTGAGGAAAATGTGGCTTCTTTGATTTCTTGTGTTGATAAACGATCATTATTTTGTCAAGCTATCCATTACATATAGCCAGATATTATTTTGTGGACAAATTCTATGATGTGCAACCAAACATGTGACTGTTGTTTTTCCATGTCAAAATTTGAGTTAAGACTCAATGTGGTTTCTTTAGGACCACATTATGGTAGTTGGTTACTGTTGCAAATGTTTATTTGTCTTTATATTGGTTTTCTCTCTATTTGTGATACAAATCTTCTACACAAATTTGGATGATTTTGATTTTATGAGAGGATCCCCATCAAACTAGCTAAATCTTTAGCAAAAATTTTGCAAAAAAAATTGTTTTTCTTTTTTAAAATATTTAACTTTTTGCTAATTTTTTTGTCAAAATATGCTGCTCTGATAATAAGCAAGGCATGTTTCTCAAATGGTAAAGGGACACATGGGCAACGAAGTGTTCACTCTCTGTCTTGCGTTATGGATGAAATACAATACCATGATTTGAGGATTTTCAATTGAATAATAATATACAAACAAAAATTCATAAAGCAATTTTTCTATATAATTATGTGATTCATTGTAGATTTTTTCCTCAAAAACAAAATATATCCATTAAGAGACTTTTTATTTACAAAGCTGACATTAATGCATCATTCTTGTGATTTTTTATCTTTTATTTTTGTATAATTTTGTTGCATGAATAGAGTTTCCCTTTTCAATTGTTTATCTAGAGTGATTTCAGCCACAACTTTCTCCCACTCAAAGTTGTGCTTTCAGATATTAATAGAAGAATGATTTACTTGCTTCCCATTATTAATGTGGGTTTCTAGTGGTTGACAAAAGTGAGGCAGGGCTGGCTACATTTCTAAATAAGATCTTAATGCAGGCCTACATTTAGCAAAGGTACTACAGTAGTAAACCTTTGTTAACAATTTTTTTTTTTTTTTAAAAAAAAAGCAAGAATGGTCATGCCTCACATATCAACACAACGAAAAATATGGGTTTTTAGTGGATGACAAAAATGAGGCAAGGATGGTTACATTTCCAAATAAAATCTTAATACAAGCTTACATTTAACAAAGGTACCCACAAAATCTTTGTTAGGAGTTCATAATCAGGGTTTTAAGAGAGGAAAAAAAAAAACCAGCAAGAATGGGTCTCGCCTGACAGATTGAGACACTGGAAAACATGATGCAGAGTTTGGACCATCTAACCTCACAGCCAGTGCATGGAGTTCAAAAACATCAGCAAATGTCTTCTCAATGCATGTGGTTGTGTCGGCGCACGCAGACGGACACACAGACAGATTTTCTGGACTTCAATTTATTATGTGCCAAAGTAAGAGACGAATTGCAATTCTGGCAGACATAACAAGAAGCTCCCCTCAATTTCAAGTCAGTCTATTAATTTTCTTGTGTAGAAGCAGATTCTAAATCTTCAGCTGTCACTGGCTGATGCAGCTGCATTCATAAAAAGAGTAGTCAAAGTAAGCAGCAGATAAGAACCTAAGAATGTCTTGTATGGCATAGATGTTAGGTGAAATCTCTTGATATGATCCACAAATTAATCATCATCGAAGAAACAAGGCATTATCTCATAGGGATATGAAGTAGGGTTTTTCATAGATCCATCCTTTGTACCCACAATCAACTTTAGACATGCCCATATATATGTCGGATGGGTTTGTTGGGCAACCCAGAAATTGCCAAACACAAATTTAATCCAAATTCCAAAATCATGTTTGGTAAGCAGATACAGAAAAAGGAATGCAAAGAAAAAATGCATTTTAAGAAGACATTTGAGAAGATCAACTTAAATCTGCCAAAACATAAGCATTTGCAAAAAGTAACTGAAACAACTTTGTTTTGGTCCCTGCCTGGACAAATTACCAAGATATGATACATGTGACCTGGTAGGCAATCTTCATAAGCAAACCTCCATAAGTGATTAGAAAAGCATAATTAACACCCAGAAAAGGACTAATATTGACCTGCATATAAACCTTCACTTTTTTTGAAAACCACTAGTATTTTAGGCTCGGCAGAAAATTATTATTTAGATTAATACATATTATTGCATGCCGTTATAGTTGTTTCCAGTGTAATTTGAAGCAGCAAATTGGATATTTGCATCCAAGGCTCTCTGGATAGCAATAATTGTGGCAATAAAAAAAACCCCCCCCCCCCCTTCTCTCCCAAACAAATATTTTACTTCATACATCCTTGAACAAGAAGTATATCAAGACATCGTCATCTAAGAATGCATAAGTTCTATTCTTTACCTTTTTGAGCATCAACATCAAGCAAAGACTTACAGCATTTGCGACAGTCAACCAATGTAAGGATCGCAAGAAAGCATCATCTCGTGAGGGAAGATTGTTGTGATTCCAAAATGTCATGCTTTGAAACTTTGCATTCATCTCCCAACAATTTGAGTTTTCTTCACACTTATCAGACGTCTTTCTTTTGTCAGCACTCTTCTTTCCTAACACAGAGCCTGCATAGCAATGATTATTAGTAAAAAAGAAAGGGAAAGTTAAAGATAAACCCAAAAATTAAGATATTAAGGGCTTTCTAGGTCATATTTGAGGCACAACCCTTGCACACAAATTTAAAATACATTTAAAAAGTTTATGAGGACTAGGCAATCTAGTACTCTAATTAAAAGCAAAGAGCCCTGTATTGACTACTTAGATGCACCTTCTTTGAACCCCCTATTCTCCCACACTACATCATCTTTAAAACCCCCATGTTTTGCACACACATTGCGTGAATCCTCAACCACTACAAAGCTTCTTTTTTTTCTTTTTTCTTTTTTTTTTTTTTTTTTTTGGGGGGGGGGGGGGTGATGATAAATATGAGGTAACTTCATTAAAAAAAGAGCATCAAGATGATAAATCCGGCACAAAAATTTAGAAAATCTAGAACTTCATCTAGACAAATAAAGAATCAACAAAATGTAGAAAAGAAAATAAATTTGGCTCCACTCTCCCCGACACCCAACTCAATAAAACCAACAAAAACTTATTCTTCAAACACTGCACAGAAACTTGTAACCTACAGAATGACCACTACTCACTGAATTATGATTCTATTTGCAATGTATTTTTCATTGAATTAAATGCGAGAATAAACATTCTGATCAAATGTAGAACACAACTGAGTTTTTTGACAATGAGAGGAAAACAAAGACAAGGAACAATGACTCACCAGAATAGCCTTGGGGAAGAGGAAGAGTGGTGCCTTGCAACTTCCTTCCCCTGAAGTAAGCTTCCTCCATTTTCAGTCCCTCCACCTCCATACCTACAACAATACAATCCATATATAAACATGAATACACACACACACACACATGTATATATATATATATATAGAGAGAGAGAGAGAGAGGTACCAGTGGGCTTGGGTTTGAAGTAGTGAGAAACAGAGCAAGGTCCATCGTACTTGACACAGCAGGGGAGCTGATGGACCTGACCCGTCAGATCCACCGCCGCCGTCGGATTCCCTCCACGGCTGAGGTCGATGCTTCCGACGGTGGCGATCGCCGAACCTCCATCTCCATCCATGTATCTATTCGCACTTAACAAAACTCCTTTCACTGCACAAAAAAAGCCCTAATTTTTGGGCACACAAGTCCAACAGCCTCATATACATTTCCTACCTGGTTTTTGAATCACAGACCAACAAAGCCCGCCAATCTCAAATTTCTTTTCATAAAATTACCACCAAAAAATAATAATAATAAGCTATGGTTTAACTCCATCGATAAACTAAGTTCAAGTTTGGCAATTCTAATATAATTTATCTTTTTATTTTTTATTTTTTTTTATTACATTATTTCTCTATTTTTTACATATTTTTTTATAAAAAAATAAAAAATATACTTATTTAAGTTATTTCAAACAATCCTTAAATTTTAAAATTCTAATTTCATGAATTTAAATAATGTACTTTTTAATGAGTTTTATTAATGTATGTTTTAAGATACATGATTAAATATTGATATGCGGAAAAAGAAAGTGGATATCAACCGAGGAATAGTGATTTGGACAATTTTTTGTTTTTTTTTAAGTTATGACGGAATTAGTAGTGATGATGGCTTTATCTATTAAAAGGATTTTGAAACTCAAGCTTGCCAATTATTAGGAAAAGGGAAAGTACCTTTTGAGACTAGGTTTATTGACAGATTATATTGAACGAGGTTATTAGTGAGAAAAATGATTTGTGAAGGGATTATTAATATAAAAATTATTAGTGAGAAAAATGGTTTGTGAAGAGATTATTACAACAATGATTTATCCCATTAAAAACATCACCACTAATAGTACTAATGCATTAAAAAAGTAAAAAAAATATATATATATATATAACTCCAAGACCAAAACATCACATCATTAATGGCGGGACCCACTGCCACCTAATTAGTGGGAGCACTAATTAGTGCTCCCAAGCATTTTTCGAGATCATTAATATAGAAATTATTAGTGAGGGGATTAAGTAAAATTATGTTTATTTTAACAATAGTAGGAAAGATTTTTTTGTAAGTTATGACAAAATTAGCCTCCGTTTGGCAAGTTGGTTTATGGGCTTTTTTGGCTATTTTAGCCACAAAAGACAAAATAGGCTATTTTAGTCACAACAAACAAAACATCACATCCAATCCATAATCATTACACTCTTCTCTCACAAAAAAAATTAAAAAAGTTAAAAAGCCAAAAAGTCCTTTCCAAATCAAGATTTTTAGCCCAAGCTAAAATAGCTAAAAAAGTCAAAAAATTAAAAAGCCAACCCACTTTCCAAACGAAGCCTAAGTGATGATGGCTTTATCTATTAAAAGGATTCTGAAACTCAAGCTTGTTAATTATTATAGAAACGGAAAGTACTTTTTGAGACCATGTTTGTTGACAGATTATATTGAACGAGATTATTAGTGAGGAAAATAGTTTGTGAACAGATTATTAATATAGAAATTATTAGTGAGGGGATTAAGTAAAAATATGTTTGTTTTAATAATAGTAGGAAAGATGTTTAATGACGGGATTGTTAAATTATTTTTATATAAAATAAAAATAAATATAATTCGATATTAAAAAATTCTAAAACAAATATAAAAAAAATTACAAATAAAAGGCTGCAATTTCAAATTAAAAAATATATATATTAAAAATATTTTATTTAGCTAGCACCAAATATAATTTTCTTAGTGAAAAAGAAAGTTATAAAAGTTTGTTGCAAATTTTTAAATATGCATTGTTAAACATTCTAGTTTACTTGCTTCTTTGTTTACTTGCTTACTTTGATGAGAGCTTTGATTTTTTATTTTTACTCTACATTCATTGTATTATTTTATTTATTTTTTCTCTTTTTGTTTGATTTTCACATGATACTTTTTTCATAGTACATTTTCGAATGTATTAGTGAAAATATCATACACTTATCTACCTATCTAAGGTAATTATGTTTTTAGATCTATATTGTAATTGACAGAGTTAATTTTACTTCCTCGGTTTTATTGCAATTTTATTAATTTATGAAATAATATCACTTCAATGATATTTTTTAAAAATTATTATAAATCAATGAATTTTTTTTATTAATATGTAATTATTTTTTAAAATTTTACTATGCTGTAATTATTCGTTAAATTATTATGAGTTGCAATTAGTTCTCTTATTTATTAATCTGTCCATAAAAAACAATGAGTAATGTTAGAGAGTTCAAAGTTCTACCAAATGTCTCATATGAGGGTGGAATCCACACTATGTGGATACCATGTAGGTCTCACACATATTTGATAGAACTTTTAGAATCTGTAATATTGTTACAAAATAATACAAATTGTAGAACTTATTAAATGGTCGAACTTATTAATGTTTTGTCTAGATTATGAATTTAATAGAATTTCACGAGAAAAAAAATGTGATTGACATACATGTATTATTTATTTTTTGTCTTAAATTCTCATTTTGTCTATTTTACAAAAATTGAAAATATGTTAATCTTTTTACCCTGCTATTTGACAATTTGTGGATTATACCAAACATAAATTTTTATGTTGACTATTGACTTCTTCTGTTTTTAATAATTTTTTTAGACTTAAAAATTAACATCCCAAATGAGACTTTACTTCACCTTCTTATCAGAAGGGAGTGCTCTTTCCAGCCTCCATCCTTATCACAATTTTTTAGTAACAGTACACTTTGTGACCCTGTGATTGGTCATGCTCTCTCTCAATAGTCTGTGTGGGCTTTACCTTCCATTGAATGTATCAAATGAACTTTCCAGTTCTAATGTATATCAAAATTTTCTAGAAAAAAAATGACTTTGTGCTACGTTTTGACCAATTAGTTTTTGGTTGGCTCTCTAGAAAGGAAAGGAAAGATACCTAATTTTCCCGAGAAACACCGCATCTAACCCACGTGTTCTGATTGTTGATCATGGTTCTCCTCATTGTTTCCCTTATCACACAGCTCACACGTTTTTGGATTTGTGACTCATCTTATTTAATTTGGATGATTCCATTTATCAATCTTATAAATTTTTATATATTATTACATAAAAATAAATATAATATAATAAAATCATATAATTATAATTATTGAATTGATTTAATTTTTTTATTTTTTTATAAATGACTTATTCACAATAATTTATAAAATAAATAGATCAAATTATTAGAGATAAGTTAAATCCTTTTAAAGGTGATAATTCAATTTCTCATAATATTTGACAAAAATTTTTGTAATGAAATATATCGACTTACATTTGTTAGATAGTTAGGAGAATGTGTTATGATAAGAAAATGACATAACAATGTTTTGGGGATTAAATATTTTAGTTAAAAAGTCATTATAAAGTTGTTATATCACTCTCTTTATTTTTTGTATATCTTTTCATACAAAATTAAAAAAAAATTAAAATAATCTATTTCCAAACGAGACCAGTATATTTAAAAGTTCCTAATTCAACTCTAAACTCTCAAATTATCATAATGGCTCACATCTCTTCCTTCTCATCTTCACTATAATAAGGATATTTATGTAAATTCATATGTTATAATGAGTAATTATTTTATCGTTTAAAAATTTCACACGTTAATGATGTACTTATGAATAGCATAGAACTTAATAATTATATGAATCCAATAATATAAATAAATAAATAAATAACAATACATTTTAAAATTGGTACACATCTTTCTAATTTTGTAGGATAATTTTTGGTAAAAATAATATTACCGACCCTAAAAATTTTATTAAATTTTTTATACAATATCTCACATAAATATTTCACACTCATATAAAATATTTAATATAAATTTTAATATAATTTTTGAATTTTTAATTTAAAAAAGTAACGTACTAGGAGTAAGGATTCTCTCCTTGAATCCCCTACTTAACTTCTTACTTGATGGGTCATTGGACTGACTTTTGAGTTTAATTTTAATAATTCGAACCGTTCATATTGTAAAATTGGTCATGTATATCATACTTATAAAAAAATCAAATCGATTAGATATCAAAAACTACATGAATTAAAAATTTTATGAAACAATAAAATTAACGATTTTTAGCTCTTTTGATATCAATTTAACTTTTTAAAATATGATATACATGATAAATTTTAAGATATAAATAATTTAAATTATCGAAATTGAGTTTAAAAATAAACCCAATGAGCCAATGAGAGAATTTAAAGAAAGAATCCTTAATTGGTAAGGTAGTTTAGTGGACTAATTAAAAAAATATCTCCTCCACTATATTTTGATTGATTCGAATTATTTTTTTATTTTTTTATTTTTTAATCTTGCTGTGAGAGAGTCTCACGTGGAGCTGGGGTCCTGGGGGCTCCGCAGCACTGCTGGACTAATTAAATTTCACCGACGGGCAAACCATCTGTCACACGGCACGCAACGCATTTCGGTAGCTGGCAGACACGTTGCATATCTTGGATGTGCAACACGTGGCGCTTGTAAATTGATTTGGCTGCTTCCTGATGTTTGGGGACAAGTAAAAAGAGAGCCGCCGCCTTGAGGCCGTCTATTCACTGAGGACTGGCCGTGGAGACGCCATGTGGGACGTGACATTGATTCTTCGCAATCTTGCCACCTGGACATCTTGGAGTTTTTTTATTTTATTTTATTTTTTTTCCTTTTATTACACAAAACTAACCTTTTTGACAAACTTTCGTACAATAATGAAAAGTTCAGAAATTGGAACGTGGCCGATTTCACTGAACAACAATGATTCATCCTATTAAAAATATCATCACTAATAACATTAATGTATTAAAAACAAAAAAAAATAAAAAAATATAACTCTAAGACCAAAACATCACATCATTAATAGCGGGACCCACTGCCACCTAATTAGTGGGAGCACTAATTAGTGCTCCCAAGCATTTTTCTTTTACTAAAATGAGAGAGTAGTGTGGAATGATTTAAATAAATATATTTTTTTATTTTTTATGAAATATAAATTAGTTATAAATTAAATTTAAAGTGATATAAAAAAAAGTAATATAAATTAAATTAGATGATATAATTTAAATAGAATAATAATTTTTTGAATTTTTAATTTTTTGAAATCATGACAAATAAGACTTAAGTATTTGTTTAGCATGTGTTAAAATAACACATATTATTTTAATATATTAT